AATAAATAAATAAAACAATTTTTAAAATCAATGTTTCTATACATCAAGAATAATTATTTAAACTTTAATTTGAAAAGATGCCATTCATAATAGCAATATTGAATAGAATAAATTTAGGTCTAAATTTGGAAAATATATGTAGGACTTAATTACTAGAAATCTATAACTTTACTGAATGATATAAAAATGGCTAGTTATAAATGGGCATACCATATTTTTTTACTTGGAAGAACTACTATTATAAAATGTAAATAATCCCAAATTTAATTCAAAGTTTTCTATATTGAAATCCAAATCCTGGCTGGTTTCATTTGGAATATGTGATAATGAATTAGAAATTCAAAGTAAGTAATAAATACATAAAAGTTGATTTTAAAAAATAGATAAGGAAGAGAGAATTTGCACTACCATATATTTCAATATATTCTAGTTACATTGTTATATTTGCAAAGTTTAAAAATAGTAAATAGATAATAGAATGGAATATCCTATTATCCAGGATAATAAAAAATTAATAGAAAGCCCAGAGGAAATCAAATACTCACAAGAATTTAGTGTATGATAAAAGCGGCAATCAATTAAACTGGAAAAGGATAAATGGCTATTAAACAAGTGATGAAGAGACAACTGGTTAACTATTTATCAAAAAATAATATTAGACATTTTTGTCATACCATACACTAAAATAAGTTCCAGATGGATTAAACAGTTAAATGGAAAACTACTTCTCCAATTTTGGAAATGAGAACACCATTCTAAGAATATAAGCAGATACAGGATCTCAAGGATAAAGTTTGATAGATTTGAATACATAAAAATGTAAATCATCCATCTAACAACACTGCAATGAACAAAAGTAAAAGGCAGTGAACTGGAAAAAAACGTTTTATTATATGAAGAGCTTTTTCCAAATCATTAAGGAAAATAAAACACAGGTGTCATAACTGCACTATGGGCAAAAATTTAGACCAGGTAATTATCAAAGGAAAAATACAAATGACCAGTAAATATACTGGAAAATGGTCATCCTCGATAAAACTAAAAAAAATTGAATTTGCTAAAATGATACCTCTATTCACCTAACAAATTGACTAAGATATTTAAAATACTAGGTCATGTTATATTGATAACCATGTGTCAAACTTAGTGTTGTGATACTCTGCTGACGGGAATGTAAATTTATACAACCCTCCAAGGGAAAATGAACAAGATGTATCAAGAAATTTATAAATGTTCATATCCTTTAATTCAGAAACTTTATAGAAATTCTTCCTACAGAAGTAATCAAAAGGGTCCACTAATGCTTGTGTTTACTATAACTCAGTTAATAAAAAATCTGTGTCCAACAATAAGTGACTGATAAATTATGGTGCATGTATTCAATGGAACAGTATGAAACTAATGTAGATACATAATATCTATATTACATTAGATATATTATGATAACGTAGATCATTTCATGATATAACAAATTAAAATGTAGATTACAAAACAGTAAGAAACCAAATTGGTTAAAAGTATGTACAGCTGTGAATACTGGGCAAATGTTCAACAACATGTAAACAGTGGTTTAAGGGTGATGGGATTATAGTTTTTTCCTTTTCCTTTTTGTTTTATTATTTCCACAAACTTTGGCTTGCTATTATGTGTCAGACATTTCTATATGTTCCAACTTTCTTCAACTGAATATGTATTACTTTGTAATCAGAAAAAGTTAAGTTTTGTAAAAGTCTGTCATATAGAACTGACTTCCTCTTTCAGACGCTACAAATCTAGTAAAGGACTCAGAGAGCATGCAATGAAATGCACACTGAAAGCATAAAATAACGTGAAAGAGAATTGGGGAAATACTCAAGTCACTTCACGTCTTACCTTTAGAGTCACTTCATGAAACTCACCTGTTCCGGCTTGGACACCATCTGTTCTTACAAGTGGAAAGGTGGCTAGCATCTTAAAGACCCCTTCCTAAGAAGGTCCTCAGAGATGACCACTTACGGAGCCTGACATCTAGGTAAGGGTTTGAAATCCATAATCCCATGGGACCACCACAACAATGGGAAGAGGGTATGACTGATTTTGTGCACGGGGATGGTGGACTTGGGGAGGTTGTGGCTCGCTCAAGGTTGAACCTGGGGTTAGGGCTGGGAGGGCTGCGATAGATGGGAAGAGCCCGGGAGGTGCTGGGCGAGGGCCGGGGTCCGCGAGGGGCGGGTGCCTTACCGCGGCTTGCTGGAAGGCGCCCTTGGTGTAGGTGCCACCGCCGCGGTAGGTGATGGCCGGGATCTCGCGGCTGAGCAGCGCGCACTTGTGCTGGTGCGCGCGGCGGGAGGAGATGTAGTCGACGCGCGGCACCACGTTGTTCTTGGACGAGAAGGTCACGATGGCCACGCGCGTGGCCGTGGGCACCACGGGGAAGTCGGACAGCAGCTTGCGGACGAACTTGAGCTCGCTGAGGAAGTTGGCTTGGCCCACGCTGGACGACTCGTCCACCAGGAAGACGAGCTCCAGGAGCTCGCTGAGCTCCCGCAGTCGCCGCACGCGCCGCCGGAACGCCTGGCCCAGCCGCTCCACTTTGCTCTCGGGCGCGTCCTCGCCGGGCGCGGGCGGTGCGGGCAGCCGCCCGGGAGCCCCCGGCGCGGCTTCGGGGAAGAGGCGGAAGCTGAAATTGCGCGACGGGGACATCTGCTGAAAGGTCGCCCAGCCCGAAACGAGCGCCAGACCCCAGCAACAAAAGGCCAGACGCGGCCACATTGCGCTGGAGACGGAGCGGCCGCCCCGGAGCGCAGGCGGTGGCCCCGACACGGAACGGAGGAGACGCTCGGCGGCCGGGCTCGTGGAGGGGAGTGCGCGGCGCGGGACGGCGGCCGCGAGCCTCAGCGCCCTTTCATCTGACACTGGGGACACAATCCAGACTCCTCCGGCAGCGCGGGGACTCGCCAGGGAACGGCGCGCGCTCTCTACCCCTCTCTCCTCCCTTCTCTCTCTGAAGCCTATAAAATGTTTGAAGGAAAGGGGGCAGTCAAGAAAAATCTCCCGCTTCCCTCCCTCTCTCCCTCCTCTCTGTCTCTCCCTCTCCTCTCGGCTCTCTCCTGCCTCTATCTCTGCCTCTATCTCTCTCCTCCCCCTCTTGTTCTCCTCCCGGGATCAAGCCAAAGACTCGGAGATTCCATGACACCAGAACGCCGCGTCTGTCAGGCTGTCAACATGCCCTCAGCAAGCGCACCAGCGCCGAAGCGCTGATTGATCCCATATGTCTGGCAGGCGCTGCAGAGGAATTCACTGGCGATGGATCCAGATACCGGGAGTGCCACAGTAATTGGAAACATTTTGTAGAGGAAAACACACACACACACGGACTGGCCAGGGAATTGAAAGCATCCTTTGAAAACTGCTTGCTCACCTTTTGTGTCTCATCCCCCCCCCCCCCTTCGATGCTCCCAAACCTTCACCAAATAGATGTTTATTTGACTTTTCTGGTGGGGATTTCTGACCCGTGGTGTGTGTGAGAGTGTGTAGACTCTTGAGGGCGCCCTCAGATCACACCATATGTGGGGTGCATCTACCCTATTGGGATGATTTGTCATGCTGTTTCAGTCGTGCATTTACCAATTCATCCATTTGCTCAGCCCTTCATTCAGCGAATATTTTTGAGCACCTATTATGCGCCAGCACACTGGCAAAATGAGAAGGAACAAAAATTGACATGGATCTTGACCCCCACAGAACTTACGTGGTAACAAGTGAGGTGACCATTAGCCAAATATTCCACAAATAATATATATTCCACAAATTCTAATTATATATAGGTAGTACATATAATACACACACACACACACACACACACACACACACACACTTGTAACTGACTTTGCTAAGTGGTAGGAATGAGATCTCAGGTAAACAGATTTGACCTTGGAGAGGCCAGGGAAGCTTTCTCTGAGGACGTGAAGTTTGTGCTGAAATCTGAAGAATGAGTAGGGGTCCCTTTGCCAGCTCCCTTTCATGCGCCTGGGAGTGGTTTTTCAAAATCAAAATCCCAAAGGGGGTGGTGCAATTATAAAGAAGGAGCACACTTTGCATAAGAGGTCTCGAGGTCCTTAACTAAAAGATTACAGCTAAGAGTCAATAGTCCTGTGTAGATAGATATGCCTCTGCAGTTATATAAACCACCTGAACTAAGTCACTTCCAATCTTTGGCTTCAATGTTGCATCTATTTTATGATGGAATTCAATGATCTCAAAGTTTCCTCTGTCTCTAATATCAGATGATGTCATTCAACCCACACTGTGTTTCCCCAGAAATAAGGCCTAGCTGGAGAAGAAGCCCTAGTGTGATTCCTCCACGATATGAAGGGCACGCACCCCTCATATGAGGGTTTTATTTATTAACTGTTTTAGGGAGAAGGGCGCCTTTTCCACAAACTTCTTCAGCTTAAAATATTCAGTATGCCAAGGTGCCATATTTTGGCAGCTAAAATCACACGAGGGCTTATTTTCCGGCTAGGTCTTATTGTCGGCGAAACAAGGTAGTTAACAAAATACCTTCAGTGAGAGATATCACAGTGTATTGGCTGAAGTGTTAGGGCTCTAGAGTCAGCTTGCCTGGGATGGAATCTTGGCTCTGTCATTCACTAGTTGTATGATCTTGACATCAGTTTGTTCATTTGTAAACTGGAGTAGTAGTATTAGCATATTAAGGACTTAACTATAAACACATGAAATTCTAAGGACAGCGATTAGAAGAGAGCATATACTCTAAATGCTGGTTACTGTTATTGCCTTCTCTAATCATGAATAATCTTCAAATCCTTGTTTTTATAACAATATTTATTGGCCATCTACTGTGCTGGAATGTTAGATACTGAGGATTTAAAGATGAATAAGACTTAGTTCCCATCCTCCCAGAAGTTCAAAGAATATCAGAAGAGAACGTAGATTTGCAAACAATTATGAAGTCTGACAATGAAGTTCGCGAACTTATCCTAGAACAAGTGCTACACCTCATTGTTGAATATCACTATGGTCACCTTCGAAGTATTCCTTTGGGAAGCTATGCACTGACACCAGTGCCTAGTCCACCTTTCAAAGCAATTTTGGAACTCTTTTTCTAGAATGCCATCAGACCTGTCACTGTATTACTTTGATGTCCTGAATGTCAAAATGTCTTCCTTTCAGTATTTCCTTTATCTTTGGGTAAACAAAGAAGTCATTGGGGGCCAGATCAGGTGAGTAGGGAGGGCATTCTAATACAGTTATTTGTTTACTGGCAAAAAAAAGCTCCCTCACATACAGTGCCCTGTGAGCTGGTGCATTGTCGTGATGCAAGAGCCGTGAATTTTTGGTGAAAAGTTCAGGTCATCTAACTTTTTCATGCAGACTTTTCAGCACTTCCAAATAGTAAACTTGGTTAAATGTTTGTCCAGTTGGTACAAATTTATAATGAGTAATCTCTCTGATATCAAAAAAGGTTAGCAACATCCTTTAGACTCTTGATTTGGACTGACGAAACTTTTTTGGTTGTGAAGAATTGGCTGACTTTCATTGTGCACTTTGACACTTTGTTTCAGGGTCATATTGGTACACCCATGTTTCATCACCAGTGATAACATGGCCCAAAACATCGTTTTGCCTCTCCAAAAGATCTTGACAAACTTCGACTCTCCTTGCTTTTGTTCATTGGTGAGCTCCTTTAGAACCATTTTTGCACACACCTTTCTCATGCCAAGATTTTCAGTTAAGATTTTCCTAACTGATTCTCTATCGATGTTTACTTGGTCAGCTATGCTTCTCACAGTCAGCCGAGGATTTTGACCCACAATTCGACAAATTTTTACAATGTTTTCATCAGCTCTGCTCGTTACTGGCTGCCCTGACCTCTCTTCATCAGTGACGCGTTCTCTCCCCTCAGAAAAACGTTTAATCCATTTGTACACTGCCATTTTCTTCATGGCATTATCCCTATAAACTTGGACTAACGTGTCCCTGATTTCACTTCCACTCTTGCCAAGTTTAACAAGAAATTGAATATTTGTTTGTTGCTCTAATTCAAACAGACATTCTTGAGACAGCACACAAAAGCACGCAACAACAGTAATGAATGCCACTCAGCAAGACACCGCCACACATCAACACGCACACAGCTGTGAGACACTGATATACCAAGGTTATGAAACCTTACCGAGCTGTTTATACAGTGCTGCCAATGTGAGCGCATGGTGGCAAGTTCGTGAACTTAATTGTCAGGCCTTGTAAAATGCATAGAGTAGTCAGACTGCAAGAATGAAGAAGGGGGAGCAAGGTCTAAATTTTCTGGGGCATGAGCAAGACCTTATTTAATCTGAGACTAAAAAAAAAGAGAGAAAGTTTGTTCATCTACTCTTATTTCAAACACATTATTAAGCACAAATGTTTCAGGACTTTATGTGCCAGTCACCATGGCTGCTACTATGTGTACTAGCTCATGTGTTCCCCACAAAAACTCAGAGAAGTAGACAATTGCCTTAGGACTATTTGGTTGCAAGCAATAGGCACCCAACTTCTCGTGTAAACAGAAAGAGATTTCTTGGCTCACATAACTCAACGAGAAAGGGCAGGGATGGACTAGATTCAAAAAGGCTTGGCAAAGGAAGTCAAGAGCTACCTAAGTCTTCTCTTTTTCTCTTGCTTCTGCTTCTCTTTACATGTCAGATTTAGCCTCTGTCTTCAGACTTATAATCTGAGAAGGAAAGATTTTCTCACCAGCTCAAGTTTAAAAAATTAATAAAAACCATGACCACCACCACCTTAAAGAATAACCCCACTAAAATAGGCATGGGTTATATTTCCATCCCTTAACCCAGACTGTGGTTGAGCGGATGGGCCATGGTAAGGCCTGACTTCGGTCATATGCTCACTGTGGCAGAGACACTTAGTCACCTGGTCTCCCCTTCTTGAGCAACACTAGAGCTCTTAAGTTTTCGCTGGACACAAAGGTGCCTGAGGTAAAGACTTCATACGTCATCCTTGCAGATGGATATGGCCATGAAGCTAGGTTCTGGGTAATGATATGTACGTACTGGTTTTGTGTGGCAGCTTCCAGAAAACCTCTTTAAAAGGCATCTATCTTTTATCTGAAGTCTCTTTTTTCCATTCCTTACTCCATCTTTTTGCCTGGAACATGAATGTGGTGGCAGAACTCTAGCAGCCCTTTTGGCCCATGAGAATGATGGTCACACCTAGCGATGAATGAGTAATAAGCTGGAAAGAGCCTGGTTTTCTGCAGGTTTCACAGAGCAGAATAACCATACTCATCTTTAATTGCCAATCTACCCCTCTTGTACTGAGTTTTTGTCCCATTCAGCTGAACTTAATCCTGACTAATAAGTCCACACCTGTAGCCACGGAGGCTATTCTCTCAATATATGCTTTCATGGATGCTATGGCAGAGAAAAGAGGACACGGTGAATTGTTCACTTGCTCCTGAAGTTGCCCCCAAAGGTGACACATAACTTTGCTCCATTTCATTGGCCAAAGAAAGTTTCATGGCCATGTCTAACTCCAAAGGGAGTAAAGAAGTACAATCCTACCGTATTCCCAGAAAGCAAAAATCTAGAAATATTTGGTGACCACCACAAATAATTACCATATTGAATCACATGACAATGGGAAGACGGTTGAGTTCAAAAAGCAAAGTAGAAACAAAACCCTGGGAAGCTTAGTCTGCCCTAAAATTTAGGAGATTCCTATAGGACACATTTATAAATCAGTTTGTACAAGGACTTTCTGATCTTTGGTTTGGGACAGTAAATTTACATTTCCTATATACTCATGCTATATTTACATATAACCATGGTGAATTATATAGTGGTATCTGAATCCAGCAAGTGTTTGTAATTGATCAGCTGTGGGGATTAGATTAAATTAATCTTTTCTTCATTTCTCATTGCAGCCCTTCTGGAATCTTTGTCTTTTTTTTGGCACAAAAAATACCCAATTATATTAAAATGTAGTTATCAAAATATTTTTTAAAAACTAAATTTGTCATATAGTAATATATGTATTTTTTCATGATCATATTAAATAACATCATTTCTCAACTATTCTAGTAAATGCCCCGTTTTTAAAGTAGTGATGAAAGGAACAATATTTTGAGATATGTGCTATGGGCCTAGGTGCATTTAAAGTTCTCTAGATGATTCTGAAACATGCCCTAGGGGTTAGAACATAAAGCATTGCGTATTTCCAGTGGGCTGAACAGTCAGGCCTATGTTAATCGTCTTGACGGTGAGAGCGTGAGGACAGAGAAGACTTGACTGAATGTTATTGAGACTGCTGCTCCAGCCTTGACACTGCTCGCCAGCACTCTTGCTAGCCTATTATATCTCTAGTCTAAAGCAGTGGTTCTCAACAGGGGTTGATTTTGCACCCCA